TCCTCTAAACAATCTATCTCTCAAAGAATTAAAAGAAAAAAAAAAAAAAAACAATAAAGAAGATTCTAAGAAATGTCACCCATTCAAAAAATCAGATCTCCAAACAAGTTATGAAAAAACAAGAACAATGATACAGGTATGGTATTATATTATTATATATAGGTGCCCCAAACCTAATGAACTCGGCATATGATCTCTGGCCCAAGCTACAGTACAAAATCAGACTTTTTACTCTTTATTTGATATGTTATGTGTATATAAAAATAGTTTATTAAATGTATGGGGATATATATAAATAATTAATCCCAATGTATATATGTGCTTCCATCTAAATGACAAAAAAAAAAGAAAAGAAAAATCTATATATCTGTAAAGTGTAAACCATATTTTTATTTTTAACAAAAAACAACATAAGAAATAGTGTTTACTTTTAAGGAGAAGCAACGTATATACAAGTAATCTTATCTTATAGACTTATACTAGTGGCATCAACAGGCTCTCCCCCAATATGTATTGATTTAGGACTTAATTGGATCGGACTTGGATCGGATGCAACAAAAATTCAATCCGATTATTGAGAACCAACATCTGAATCTAATTTAAAATTTGATTGGATTTAAAGGTTTGGATTCAAATTTGAATTCTAATAAATTCGAATCGGATTCGGATTTAATCTGATTCCACTATTAATTTGCTAAAATATTAGAAAAAATAAAATTTTATTTATTTTTTAACTTTTATATATAATAAATTATACCAAATTATATAAAATTTATATATTTTTATATATAATATATAGAATATATTTTTTAATTTTAAATATAATTATATAAAATTAATAAATATTATAATATAATTGGATTTGGATTTTAATTAGATCAGATGGGGTCAAATCCGAATTCAATTCGATTATTAATTGGATGTAGATTATAACATCTGAATCCGATCCAATTACATAAATATATATCATCTAAATCTAAGATAATTGGGTTAGATATCAGATAGGGCCTCACATTTTCTAGTATCATTGAGAGGCCTAATATTGAAATGGTCTCATTTGGACTATCAACTGAAAGGTGGCTTGTAGCTCTAGCCAAGGGTAAAGTGGAGAAACTATCGAGGAGAAAGAATAGGAAAGAAGAACCCCAAATTGGTATGTTTATTCAACAATGAAACCAAGCAAAAAAAATTGTGCCAAGTAGGGGTGCTCATGGTAACTGAACCGTGGGCCTCTTTTTGAAACCAAACCAGTATTATCAGTTTATGGAAAATTGGTAATCGAAACCAAATCGAAGTCGATTGGTTAATTGATTGACCGATTTGATTAATCGACATTTTGGTTCATTGGTTTTTCGTTTTTTATATTTACAATATATACTATAAAAACTAGAAATATATATATATATATATATAATTTTTATATTTTAAATAATTAATATATTATATATAATAAATATATATATATGTTTATATATAATGCATATTTATTAATTTATAATATATAGAAATATATGTACACTGGTCGGTTTGGTTAACCACCGATTTTCTATATTGGTTAACTGAAACCAAATTGATACCTTCTTTTGTTTATTAAAAATACTGAACCGACTGATTCTGTTAATCAGGTTTTTTATTTGGTTTTAATCGATTTTTTAGTTTGATTCAGTTTTTCGATTTTCTTGCTCACCCCTAGTGCTAAATTAGAAAACCAATCTGAACAAGGAAACCTAATCCTCCTTCAACCAAAGACTCCTCCTCTATATAATAGTACTTAATCCAAAGGTATGGATGGACTCACCTCACAATTTCTCCTGCAAAACTCTGCCTCTTCCTCTCTTTGCAGTCTTTTCCTTGACTTGAGCATCAGAGACTCCACCCCGAAAAAGAAGAATTCTAGGGCGTTCTAAATTATAAGTTTGCATATTGCAGGAACCCTAGGTCTTTTAGATTTTTTCCATGTCGCATATCTCAACATCAACATGTATGTTTATGGTTTTTTTACTGATGTTATTTCTACTTTGAAATTTCATATCATCAAATTAAGCACCCCATACCTTAATTAAGTGATTTTATCAATACATTACATGGGGTTGCTGCTGGTCGGATTAGCCGATGTTTGGTGTAAACAATTTTGGAAGCTGATCAGAACATTTTTTTATGTGTTTCTACACAAATCTGATTTTGTATTTTGTTTCTCTCCAGTCTCATCATTCAATACTAATATGCATGCCATCAACAAAAATTGGCCTCCTTAATATTAATATTAATTTGATTCATGCAACAAAATTAAGGCTTAGTGAAAAACCCTAATTTAGAAAATCTGACCGGCTGGTCGATTGGACCAGTTGAACCATGCCCCAAGACTTTGACCAGTTCAATTATACTCCAATAACTACTTTTATTAAAAAATCATTCGAAATCAGCTAACCAAYCAGTTTAATCGTATTTTAATTAATGGCGCTTTATTGTACATATTACTTTATTACGCATGTATTTCAAAGAAAATGTAAATTAAGAGACTTGAACCCTAATTATTTGCTTGAAAAAATAAGAAACTTGCCATTGATATACTATGCGCGTTTTGTTCCGTGGGTGTTTTGTGATATGCGTATATTAAAACGCCACCATGTCATTGCAAAATCGGCATTTTTTCCATCTTATTCATCCGTACGCATGATATTTACAAAAGTGGGTTTTGATTTATGTGTGCGCCAAGAAAGCTTCATTTTAACACTTCCCCCAACAATTGAATGTTTATTCATTGTTCTGGTGATGTAATGCCTAATTATCCATAAATGATTTATCAAATACTTTTCTTGGTTTTAAAAACAAATAAAATACAAGCGTTTATTTAATAAATGGAAGCTATACCAAACACACATTATATTTATATTTAAGTATATTAAAATTGTAATATATATACCACATCATCACCACAGTTCAACCTCTAATTTCMCCCCAATTGAACCTATGACCCATTAACCTCTCTCAATCCTCTCTAGTTCTATACCCGGTCTAGTTATCTAAACATTGGAACTGATAGCTCTCCCCAAAAAATTCTAACATTATTCATTTAATAGTTGCACCATCATAAATGTTCTTAATCAAAGCTCACATATTGATCTTTACTCCATCTTCAAAACCCACCATGTTATTATGTTTATTACTGTAACGTGGTTTTATGATTTGTTGAAATTATGTGTCAAGATCCTTCTTTTTTCTGCCTTATTTTAAACCTTTTCCATCGACTATCTCGATAAAACAAAACGTCTATAATTGATCTCCTTGACATTTGCACAAGGGGTGAGGCTCAACAATTTTATGATAGACACATGTTAAACTTTTGGCTTAATTTGGAAGGAGTATAAATAGTGTAAAACCTTGTAATTTGAATTATTTTGTACATACTTGTATTTGTATTCTTTTCAAACTGAGCCTTTATTTTTCTAGGTACGTACAAAGCACAAGTCAGTCATTCATCTCAGTGGTTTGTACATCAGAAGCAATCACAGGGTTTCTTTTAGATACATATAAAAACATGATCTTTTCAGTTTTTTTTTTCAAAATTTAATTTTTGAGAAATTAAGTATATGTATTTTTCGTTAAAAATGAATGAATCCTAATCAAGACCCAAAAGATACGATACGATACAATACACCTATAAATATGGGGTGTATCGTAGATAAGGAGAGAGGGAGAGAATTAACTGTTTGGGGGGAGGCCTAATTTAATTGAAAAACGAATTGAATTCATCTACTTTCTGATGACCAATTTATTTGCCCCCTACTATTTATTGGAAAACGAAGGAGGCCTAATAATTGTTTTGGGGGCCGCTAAAATAAAATAATATTCCACATGTATGGCTTACAATGACTTGTATATATCTACGATAGAATTAATTTAACAGTATACTTTTAGCATTGCAATGCTGGAAAGCACTACAAAAGGTGCAAAATACCTTCACTAACACGCTATAGACAATTGGGACCCCCCACAAATATGTGCAAAGACCAAGTTGACAGCATTGGTTGACACTGGTTGTCTCCTAGTGTTCTCCATAGATTTTTCAGATGAAATTAAAGGGAGTAAGGGCCCATTTGGAATCGGAATCAAAATTCGTTAAAATTGAAATTAAAATGATCAATTTCTAGTCTGTTTTGATTCAGACAGAAATCGGAATGAAAATTAAAATCAACAACTGAAATGGAATATCATTCTCAATTAAGGGAGGGGGTGTAAATGGCCCTTCTTTCAAATGGGAGAATCCATTCTATCAGAAATGGAAATATGATTCGGATTCCAGACCCCTAATCATTCATTCCAGATAGCACCAAAATCTATGATACCAAAAACGCTTTGACCAATCTCCATGAATTTTGATGAAAATGCAGGTTGATTGATTATAGGTTATTCCAGTATCATGTCTTTCCTGCACATAATCCAACCCTAACTAAAAACTTAAATGTAAGATGTGACGTGCAGCAACCATTACCCTTTACCCACTGCTTTTATATTTCTTACTTCACAGAGAGAGAGAGAGAGAGCCACGTCTTGTCTCTTGGCTCAATAAGGCTTTAATTAGTTAGTTCCAAACTTGGATGGGATGGGCTGGCTGATTGCACGGTCGTCGGTGGATATTAAGCTAATGGCAGAGGGGCTGACAGAGGCTGCCGACGGCTAGTGGAACCCATGTTAGGTCTGCAAATTACATCTACTTGGGGGTTGTTCTCACAATAATTTTTTTGTGTCTGATTGATTTCTGTGATTTGATAAATATGGCATTTTCCTAATCCGACAATAATGTCTTAATCCTTGATTCTAACTACATGCACATGCAGTCACCTCCACATTGATCTTATTACAACAGTAAGTGATGAGTTATAATAAGTAAAAACTACTGATCGCCGGCCACTTCGGTTACGATGTTAAATCACTGCTTTTTCTGCACTTGCTTTCTTCCTGAGTGATTTCCTATATATATTGAGGGGTTGAGTTTTCTGCGTGTATTATTAATTTCATATAACACCCCCCTAGCTAGCTAGTCCCTCCAAGGTTGTTATCTGAATCTATTTATCTTATCTTATTAAGATGGGATTAGTTCTACTTCTTGCTAATTTATTTCTTCTTCTTCTTCTTCTTCTTCTTCATCTTCTTATTGCAAGAGCATCTTCCCTTGTTACAGAAACCTCTCATGTGGCATGTTCCAGCCTGCATCAAGGTTCATGCCTCCTCTCAACGCAACCTCTGTTCTTATCGCGCGTGTATTAATTAATTGATTTAGTTGTTGATACTTGTTTCTTATTCCCACATGTTTCTTTACAAAACGTACACTGAATTGCAATCTGCCTTCCCTTTCCCCTGTTTCCCCAACTTAATTTCTTCAATAATAAATCTAACTTTAATTTCAACTCTGATCTATGAAGCTCTACTGGTCCTGTTTTTCATTAAACTTAATCTATATAATTTAACATCATGGGCTGAGTCCTGAATATCTTGTGTTGGCATGCAGGAGATGATCAACAGCGGCTATTCAACGAGTCCGCTGGGTTGCACCTCACCTTACACCGGCGCCACGGACTGGACACGCCGTTGCCATTGTTGTCGGACATTCTGGCGCGAGATGAAGCACGAGTACGATCCCTCAATGCAAGACTAACAAGCAAAAGAGTAATCAACACGACCGCCGCTTCATCAAAATTGAATCATCTCCGAGCAAGTTCCGTAAGCCTACCATTGAATCCGGGCGAGTCCATAGGGACGGGTAATTACTATGTAAAGATTGGGCTGGGAACACCCACCAAGTACTACGCCGTGTTGGTCGACACCGGCAGCTCCTTCACTTGGCTCCAGTGCCAGCCCTGTACCATTTACTGTCATCGCCAGGTTGGGCCAACCTTCGACCCCTCAGCCTCCAAGACTCACAGGTTCATGTCCTGCTCCACCCCGGAATGCGCCGGCCTAGAGGCTGCCACCCTCAACGCTCCCTCCTGTTCCAACTCCAACGTCTGTATATACGCCGCCAGCTACGGTGATTCATCCTTTTCCGTTGGCTACTTGAGTAAGGATACCTTAACCCTTTCACCCTCTCAGACCCTGCCGGGGTTTGTGTACGGGTGTGGCCAGGACAACGAAGGCCTATTCGGCCAGGCTGCCGGCCTCATTGGCCTTGCCCGTAACAAGCTTTCCATGCTGTCCCAGTTGTCCACCAAATACGGATACGCTTTCTCCTACTGCCTGCCGACGGCTGCTTCGACGGGCTCCTTGTCCATCGGCGGGAGCTTCGACCCATCCATCTATAAGTTCACCCCCATGCTCACCGATTCTCGGGACACCACACTCTACTTTCTCCGGTTGACAAGTATAACAGTCGCCGGCCGACTCTTGGCCGTGCCCGCCACCGCGTACCGGACATCTACCATCATCGACTCTGGAACCGTAATTACAAGACTGCCGTCGACGGTATACGCTTCGCTGAAAGACGCGTTCCTGAAGGCCACCTCCCGATATCAGCGGGCCCCTGCATATTCCATACTCGACACGTGCTTCAAGGGGAAGGTGACGTCCGTACCGGAGGTCCGGCTTATATTCCAAGGAGGGGCGGAGTTGAAGCTGGAGCCTTGGAACGTTGTTTTGGATTTGAATAACGGCGTTACCTGCTTGGCCTTCGCCGGCAACTCTGGCAGCAACGGAATCACCATCATCGGAAACCATCAGCAGGAATCGTTTCGGGTTGCTTACGATGTTTCTAACTCTAGGATTGGGTTTGCTGCCGGTGGATGTGGTTGAAGGCCCAAAAACTTATTAAAACAAGATGCAGAATAAATTAATAATATATATATATAAACATTGCAAGGAAAACAGAGATGGGCTTCTGAAACAAAATACGTGGGCCTGGCCCATAATAGCCTCTCCCGATCCGAACTACTTAGCAATAGCATCATCAATAATTGTTTTCTTATTATATATGTTGTGTTATTTAGGCTATTAATGTGTACATAGATATGAAACAAGTTAAGCTGTTAAAATGGAAATATTGATTGTAAATTGAATACCACAAATTGTGACTGAAGCATGTTATTGAATTCAAAGAGGGAAATAATAGCAAGCTGTGGATTTCCTCTTTTATATATCACATATGTTATCTTATGTTTTTTTTTTTTTTTGAAACTTATTAGATTATTATATTTTATAAATGCTGATGTCACATGCTACTTAAGTCTTACAAGTTACAAGCAGAATGTTGAACTATTGGTCCCACTCCCAGTCCCAAGTAGGGGTGTCAATTGGTCCAACCCGATCCGGTCTAATATGAATTCATTACATATGGGCCAGGTTCAATCCAATTCAATGAATACTTTGGACAATTTTGGATGGGTCCAATTTAATGTCTAGAGTCTGAACCATTCAATCTGTTCAAATTAGTTTTAATTTAGATTTGTTCTAACCCAAACCTGGTCCATTGACACTTATATTCTTATCTTCTATAAATGGAGTGGATATTGTTTTAATCCAATCCAATCTAATAAATATTTTGAACCATTAAGTCGAGATTGGTCTAATTCAAAATGTTTTATTAGTCCATCCAGTCCATCCAAATTGATTTTGATTTAAATGGGGTCCAATCCAAAAATGATCCATTGACACCCCTATCCCCAAGGTTAGAATATATTGGACCAAAGATTTGGCAGGCTAGCCGTACTCCATCCTGATATCTGAGTTGGGTTTGGGCTGCGTTTAAACTCAGTCCCAGTTCAAGCCGTGCTCCCACACTGAATGAATACTATTGCAGACACTGAAGCCCACCCACGTCGTTTGTTGATAACCCCAGTTCAACCCAATTAAAAGCATGTCAAAATAATCGACCCAAACATGAATACCGAAGAGGATTCATGTTTATTTATAAATTTCCCTTGTCTTGTTATTGAGATGTCTAAGGCTCCGTTTGGTTTGCAGGAATAGGGGTCCAGAATTAGAATCGGAATGGCGGAATTGGAATCTCATTCCTATTCCTGCTGGAATAGCATTTATCCATCTGAGGAAATGGCCAATTCCCTGCCTTTCCTTTAGGAATGAAATCTTATTCCTGCTGATTCCAAATTTCATTCCCATTTCTGTTTGAAACAAACAGACTATGGGAATAGACCATTACGATTCCGATTCTGAAAGATTTTTATTCTGATTCCGATTTTAATTTCGACTGTGAACCAAACAGACCCTGATTTCCTTCTCCAGATCCCCTAGTTTGAATGTGTGAGTATGACCATGTAAGAGAGAGAGAGAGAGAGAGAGAGAGAGAGAGAGGAATCGTAGTGACCATTGAAGATCATCAATCTCATAGGAGACCTTTCTGAGCCCCATAAGCTTTGGCAAGTGATATTAGTTATCGAAAGTAATAGACTTTAATTAAAGGTTGTGACCAAAGAAAGGCTTATTATCTTGACATGTCAGGCACTAGAGAAGCTCGGAAATCTTCTATGCAGTAATTTGGCTGGAGCCAGAAAGGGCCCCATATGTTCCCCTCTGCACCCTCTGATCATAGGGCAAATTTCAACTTAAAAAAGCTTCTAGGACATCTGCAACTTTTAGGGCTTTTGTGGGCCTTTTTAATTAATATATTTGAAACTCTGTACCGAAAATATTTACTTGGGGGACAAGTCCAACACAAGGTGGAGTGGATTGGAGGAGTGAGCATGTCAGCAATTCAGAGAGCCCTTTTGAGTGGTATGGATTGCCACATCATCGTCCACACATGGTAGAATGAGAGAGATGATTTAGCTTTATTTTCTATTGTATACTCCATCAACGCATCAATGTTGATTTCCATCATTTTGTCTGTACCATTCTTCTTATCAACTTCAAACTTTCCTAACCTTCTGCTGGTTGTAACATGTCCATGAAATATAGATATATTAGTTAAGCAACATGATGGGCCTTTCATGGATGAAGTGAGCCCACCCCAAGGCCCTGACTCAGATGCCTTGGTCTTAGCTCGGCCCATGGTGTTGGGCCTTTGTTTTAAAATTTTAATTAGTGATTGTAAGTCTGGAATCCTTGGATTGTGTTCTTCAAGGCGCATGTTTTTCTCCAAATGTTGGGTATTTGTCGTATTGATATTGGACAAGTCAGCAAGATGTGGGCCAATGTCATAGGTACGGTTTTCCAATAAAAAATTAATTTCTATTTTACATTGAAACATTAGAGATCTGTTTGGTTTGACAGAAAAGAGGAGAGAAAAAGAAAGTTGAGGGAAAGTCACAGCCTAAGAATATTTATAGAGGCAAATATGCTTGGTTTTAATTAAAGACACTAAACCCACTTGGGTAGTCAATCCAAGTACCAAGATTACCTCAAATTATTGAACTTTACGAGGCACATACATTTCTTGTTTTCATGAGCTTGTTCCCTTTTTTATAATTTTTGGAACTGGTTAATTGCTTCCATTTCACTAATCAAGTTCATGATAAAGACAAATAATATATCCTTAATTATAAGAAATGAATCAATGATGTGATTCTCCCCTTATTCATCCTAATTAATGAGATTTTTAATTCTTTTTAGCATTCCAGTCAGGACTCGGTACAGAGAATTTGGCAACCCTTGGAATTAGGGGTGGAGCCCTACAAGTTTATAATAAAGTAGAACCAAGTAGCCTTATTAATGAAAGAGGACAGCCCCCTAGGAAATTTAAGATATGTAACTTTGGCCTTTGGCCCTCTCCTAACCCAAAAGCATTGCAATTTGCAAATATTAATTGGGTCCATCCAATCTTTTTGGAACCTTATTTTGTCCCTCTAAAACCCTTTCTAAATACTCTAAATGGGTTTAAATAGTTACCAAAAAAGTCTATTTATTTTCCAAGCAAACTTTATTTGGTGGTCCAAAAATTTCTTACCTTTCCTTTTATGAGATCCTTTATTTTTGACTCTGGTTCCATAAATCATATAATTTCAACACAACAAATTTTGCTTTTTTGCTTTGAAAACCATCGTTCTGAGGTTTCAAAAACATGTATAGCTTTTTCTTTCTGTTTTTTTTTTTTTTGCCAATGTGGCGATTTCAGAAACAAATAAAAGTAAAAAACATTCACTCAAAAGATCCATGGTTTTTCATCTCTCAATTTCTAAAATAACTGGCAAGTAAATCCATGTAATGCATGGGGTTGATTAGAAGTTTGAGAAAAGGCTCTGAAAAAGATTTTATTTACATACCAACTAATGAAGAAATGTTTGAGAGTTCTGGACTGCAACTTGGGCCGAAAATATAACCCCAGAGACAACCTATATAGTTGGGCCCATGGCCCATGTTATATAAAATAGGTATAAATTATTGAGAAAATGCACATTTTTACTTCCCACCCACCCCCTTCTAGCTTAGGGTTACTCTTAAGAATGGGAAAAACATACAAATCATTGCTTTCGGTGCATCTTAGACCTTGGGCAGAAAACTTCGTTACAAATAATTATAGAAGTCTAAGTTTCGATTCTTCATAGTTCATACCACTTTGGTATAAGCACTCTTTGGGGTCAGACCCATTATTCGATTTTGATGGTGATCCTCTAGATATACAACACATCACCAACTATCCAAAAAGAGAGATGAGAGATCAATTTTTTTTTTCATATACTTAAGAATAATTTAAATTGTTGAAAAATTGATTGTCATCATTCTCAATGTGAGGTGTGGAAACAAGCATGGATAAACTATGATATAGGGAGATGCATCTCGAAATGGAAGATCTTTTTGATTCGATCAATCTTCTTTTGATTTGGAGTTCAATTCTTCCAAGTTGTGAAACATTTACACCTTGAATAGCCTCCTTGACCTTGAATAGTCATACTTCTAGAAATACTTCAAGAGATGATCCAACTTGGCTATCTACTCCAAATAGTCCATAGGGAAAATTTTATGAAATTTATGATGCTAGTAAGACATGAATACCAGAAAGGGTTTGATCAATCAATACCCCAGTGAATTTTGATGAAAATCCATCTGATTAGTTACCACTTTTATAATGCCAATTGATTAATTACAAGTTTTTTCGGTACCATGCCTTTTTTGCATCATAGTCTAACCCAATATATTCTTGTGATTTTTTTAGTGAATCTGATGACTAATTTTGACATTCTAGTTGCCATTTAGGCTCTAAAGCCCCTCTAAGTGCATGAAGATCTGACGTAACGTCTATTCTAATTCACCACGCGTTGGATGGTGAATTAGAATAGGAACAAGATTCAAAGTATCGATATAATATATCTCGTATTGGGTGTATTGTATCCTATCCTATCACTAGGTGATTGATATGTCATTTGAAAGCATTTTCCAAAATGGTCAGTTTTAAATGTTAAATAACACTTGAAATTTAACCTTTAAAACCTATCCCTCATCAAAATATGAAAGAAAAAATTAAAAAAAAAATTGTTATAGGCACCAAAACACCGCTATCCATGTTCGCACATATCATGTGTATCAATACTTTGAACTAGATGGGGAGACATGTTGAGGTGACTTTACCTAAGGATTTTAATGGTTAAATAGACAGTTTGTAAGCATCTTTTGAGAAAACACATACATCTCAGAAAAATTTAGTACCCCTTAGCTTGATGGGCATTAATGGTGGAAGAAACATAATAAGCAGCCATTGGATTGGCCGAGTATGCTTCATTCACCCTAGCTATTAGTGACACAGACCTTGGATTAGCTCTATATGCATGTGTTTCATACACGCAAGGATACCATAGAAACAAGACATAGAACACACCAGAACAATGGAAATCATTGAAACAAGGACTCCAGATCTCCTACCTCTGTGTTTTGAGATCTTCTCCCCGTGCATAATAACATGTAAGAGAATGAGATGTTTCCTGTGTGTGGCTGTGATGTTATGTGGATATATGTGGGTAGGAAGTCGGGACTCAGAAACAAGATATGCAACAAAAGAGAACACACCAGAACAACTGGGAAGAAGAGGCTAATTAGAATATAATCCAAGCATTCCTTCTGGATGATTCTAGAGACCTCTAATGTGCCAGGCATTCACTGTGCCCTAATTACTGAAATACTTTTAAAGGGATAACCCATCATTTTTGCTAAGTGATAAGCTAAATTTCACATAGCGTATTCCCACATTTGGAG